TGCAAAGAGGGACTACAAAAAAAAAGGTAGAAGATCACTTCACAGACAGCAAATCACGACAGGTATGGCAGGGATTCCAGCACCTAACAAACTTCAGAGGCAGCAGCTGGGAACAGCTCGGCTCCCCTGGCAGAGGAACTGAACTGCTTTTTTGCTCATTTTGACACACCACAGCAGCAAAAAACCACACCACCTCAGACCCTGGTACCCCAACACCCCCCACCCCCCCCACTCACTGTCCAGGAGCAAGTGAGGCGGGTGCTCAGAACAGTGAACACACGGAGAGCTGCAGGCCCTGACGGCATCCCAGGGAAGGTGCTTAAGGGATGTGCTGACCAGCTCTCAGGAGTCCTCGCCAACCTCTCCCTGAGACAAGCATCAATTGCATCCTGCCTGAAATCTTCCACAATCATCCCCATAGCAAAGAAATCAGTCACGGATAGCCTCAATGACTATCTCCCCATCGCCCTCACGCCAATCATTATGTAGTGCTTCAAGAGGCTGGTCCTACTCCACCTGAAGACCTGCCTCCCTTCCACCTTCGACGCACATCAATTTGCCTACAGAGCTAACAGATCGACTGAGGATGCAATAGCCATAGCTCACCATAATGCGCTAAACCATCTGGAACACCAGGAGAGCTATGTGAGGATGCTTTTTATTGACTACAGCTCAGCCTTCCACACCATCATACCGGACATCCTCTTCAGCAAACTCACAGATCTGGGCTTCCCCTCACTCACCTGCACTTGGATCAGAAACTTCTTGACTGACCGCCTCCAGACTGTTAAACTTGGTCCCCATATCTCCTCCACCCGCACGCTCAGCACTGGCTCCCCTCAGTGGTGCGTGCTGAGCCCAATTCTGTACTCTCTCTACACGCATGACTGCCATCCAGCCCATCACCAGAACACCATCATCAAATTTGCTGATGATCCTACAGTGGTGGGTCTAATCTCAAAGGGGGATGAGGCTGCCTATAGATATGAGATCCTGAGACTGTCAGAGTGGTGTTCAGCCAACAAACTGACACAACACCACCAAAACAAAGGAAATCATCCTTGACTTTAGAAGGCACAGGGCAGACCCCGTTCCCCTCTACATCAATGGAGACTGCGTAGAGAGGGTTCAGACATTCAAATTCCTCAGCACCATCATCTCAGCAGATCTCACATGGTCAGCCAACACCACAGCAGTCATCAAGAAGGCACAGCAGCGCCTTCACTTCCCGAGAGTGCTGAAGAAGAACAACTTGAAGGAGAAGCTACTTGGAGACCTTCTATCGCGCTGCAGTGGAGAGCCTGCTGACATACTGTATCACAGTATGGTATTGCAGCTGTATTGAGGCAGAGAGAAAGGGAATACAGCGGATCATCAACTCTGCGCAGAGGATCATTGGCTGTCCTCTTCCCTCTCTGAAGGACCTGCAATGTTTTTATACCCCCATTCCTTCAGTACACTGTGTAATACTTGTAATACTGGGTAATAGTTTACTCAGAGCCAGAAGACTACCTCATATCAGTGCAATAATCATTTTAACAAGCTGTTACTTACTATTCATTTATTTTTATATACAAGCAATTCTTTCCATTTCATTCTCTTTATTCTCTTGTCTTAGCTTAAATATTTTAATTGTACATCTCTTTGTATCATGTATATTTATTTTTAGTTTCTTTTGTCTATTATGTACCACGCACCTCACGCAGAAGCCCTGCAATTTCGTTGTATTTTACAATGTCAATAAAGCATTCTAATCTAATCTGACTGGGTTGGCAAGCTGTCAATCTGGGTGGGCCTAGGCCTACCTGTAGCTCCGCCCCTGATCAACAGGCACTGACATTTCCCAACAGCACAACAGTAATGAGTTTGAACATTTGTGGGGCGGTCATGGCCTAATGGTTAGTCGGACTTGTAACCCAAAGGTTGCGGGTTCAAGTCTCAGTACCGGCAGGGATTGTAGGTGGGGGGAGTGAATATACAGCGCTCTCTTCCACCTTCAATACCACGACAGAGGTTGAGATACTTGAGTAAGGCACCGAACCCCCAACTGTACCCTGGGCACCGCAGCATAAATGGCTGCCCACTGCTCTGGGTGGGTGTTCACTTGGATAGGTTAAATGCAGAGAAACAAATTCACAGTATTTGACACCATACTTGGCTACATGTCACGTCACTTTCAATTTTCACTTTCAACTTCTTTACTTCCAAAATCGATACTATTAGAGATAAAATTGTAACCATGCATCCGTCAGCTACAGTATCGCATCAGATAGTGTGCTATAGATCCCCTGAGGAACAATTCCACTCATTCTCTACTATAGGAGAGGAAGAATTGTATAAACTTGTCAAATCATCAAAACCTACAACATGTATGTTAGACCCTATTCCATCTAAGCTCCTAAAAGAGGTGCTTCCAGAAGTCATAGATCCTCTTCTGACTATTATTAATTCATCAATGTCATTAGGATATGTCCCCAAATAAAAAAAAACACACAGATTGATCCTAGTTAATTAGTGGTAATCCTTTTTTTAATTATTAGACCCTTTTCACATGACGTCAAGCAACTTCCGTTCTGACTCACAGCATGGTAGGTTCAACCGGCATAGTTAAGAGCTATCGCTACCAGCATGGAGTTCACCCAGACACTTTTACATCTGCCACAAATAAGATTAGAGGATGACTGCAGCTGTCTACTCTCGTCCTCATTCAGTACATGCAGATGTGAGAGAGCAGATCTAGGGGTGGGGCTGGGGTCCGAATGAAGCCCATTTTTGGCCCTGTCCCAAATGGCACACTTCACGTGCACTTGTGGTCTTTCGGACTTACAATGGCTGCCGCGTGTGCGTGTCCATTAAGTCCACAAGACCGTAGGGTGTCCCATTCGTCATTTTAGCTATCAGAAGGGTGCTCACGAGTGCCCCCTCTGTGGCCGCTATGCGCCCTCAATGTGCATTTCTGCCGAGCCTGCACTGAGGCGAACTCCGTAGCAGACTTCTACCCGACAGTCAAAACGCCATTATATCACGAAAGTGTGGCCTCAGAGGAAGACGGCAAGGGTTTAGGGTGCGATTTGGGACAGGGCCTTTATGTAAAAGTATCAGTTATTTGTAAAACACTGAAATTAGCCAAATTAGCTTTTATTTTAAGCCACTGTATTCATCTTGGCATTCAAGTATTATCTGGCTGGCAAATAGTGCAACATCTTTTCCTATATATTGCAGAATAACAAGGCTGTAATATGTTGAACCACTTTATATAATGACCATTAAGGCCAATTAAAAGCCTTTAAGGCATAATTAAAAATTAAACAGGATAAAAAATGTATGCAAATAAAGTAATTTCACAATAATATGAGTGTAATATAGCAAGTACAGAACAGGCCAACGCATACAATTCAAATTGCACTTGATTAAAAAAAATGTTGCTTATTGTTTTCAGCAGTAGCCTTCAACTTTAATTTTAAAAGTAGTATTTATACTTTGCATGTGAAGTTGTTTTTAATCTAAAATGTTGCTTATATGGAATAGGCCAGCGTTTAATCATAGAAATACTTATGTATTGGACCTTGACATAGTTTGATGTGTGTCAAATGTCATAATAGTTTGATAACTGATGTTTATCCAGGTCCACAGTGCATCACCAGACAACTGTTGGGTTTTCATGTTCTTGTATGGTCTTTTACCTCAAGTCTACCTTTCTAATTCATTTACAGAAGAAACTGAGGACAACACGGAATTATGAAAGGGCACACTGGCTGCCGCTGTTGCATGACATCATCATGCAAAGAAACCATCCGATTTTATTAGTCAGGCATGGACCAATAAAATGCCTTCATTCCCACCCCAGCCCCACTCCCAGATCTGCTCTCTCACATCTGCATGTACAAGTGCACAAGTGAGTTTTGCTACAGGAATATCGCTAAAGGAGTAGCAAAAGTCAAAGCGCTGAGATTTGAAGTTGTGCTGCCAGATCTGAGAGATTGAAGGATGGCTATGGAAACAATTTTGAGATTAAACCATGATATGCAATGCTCTTTTCCCGAAGCAGTGTTTATAATTAATGGGGAATTTAACCACAGTTCACTCTGCTACCTCTGCCCTCTTTTAAGCAAATGGTGACTTGTCCTACGAGGGAGGGTAAAATTATTGACTTGTTTTATATGAACACTAATGGCGCTTTTCCACTGCATGGTACGACTCGGCACGGCTCTACTCTGCTCTACTATTTTATTTTTTTTCATATTTCATTTATTTATTTTTTTAAAGCAAGTTGTTTAAGTCGTGCGAACGATACTGCGGTGGCTGTTGCTGCTAGCGGGTTTGGTGTCGCAAATCCAATGACGCTGGTAATGACAATTCTGTCTGACCAATCAGTGATCTGCAGTGTTTACACGTCACATTTTAGTACCATACTGAGCCGTACCATGCAGTGGAAAAGTGCTATTAAATAGTACCACCTCGGTTGAGGTTTCAAGTACCGATACTAAAATGTGTAAGACATGTAAACACTGCAGATCACTGATTGTGTTCATTGTATGGGGCAGTCATGGTCTAATGGTTAGAGAGTCGGACTTGTAACTCAAAGGTTGTGGGTTCAAGTCTCAGGTCCAGCAGGGATTGTCAGTGGGGGAGTGAATAACCAGCGCTCTCTTCCATCCTCAATACCATGACTGAGGTGAGACCCTTGAGCAAGAACCAAACCCCCAACTGCTCCCCGGGCGCCGCAGCAATATGACTGCCCACTGCTCCGGGTGTGCATGTGTACAATGATGGCAAATGAGTTTCCCCTTATGGGGATTAATAAAGTTTCCTAACCAAAGCAAGTGGTATTAAAAAGAAGAAAAACTGGAAGCATTTCTACAAAGCTTTAATTCACTACACATGCTTCCTAGGATTTCCTTATTGGAATAAAAAAAAAACATAAAGCTTAAGCCAATGGAATTCAAAAGCACATTCAAATGGACCTAGAGACGCTAACTGTGAGGAACATCTGGACTTACGCACAACACAGCGGTTGCCTGCAGGCAGAGTCTCCCAGCCCGGACAGCAGTAGGACTGCAGACGTGATCCACACACATTAGGGCTGCAAAAACACAAAGATCAAAATCACCTGCAATAATACATGCACAAAGAAGCCTATGAGACAAAGCAACAAGAGGTAATCTGCACACCGATAATTATACAAGCTTCAGTATAAGAAGTTCAGTGTAAAACTGTTCATATATCTATCACACCATCTATGCTTCTGTAATAACGGCAAATGTCTCACTCAGAAAAGCCCACATATCACAGCCTTATATTCTAATAAAAGCGGCATTAGTTTGGATGCGTGTCATAAGACTCACCCTCTCAGGGACTCGTGTTGTTCCCATCTCTGAGATCCATCCACATGAACAGTCGCTTTTCCATGAATTCCTGAGATTTTCAGCAGTAAAATTCCCAGTAGAGCAACAAATCCCACTAAACACCTCAGAGCCCCTTGAGACATGCTAGATCCTCCTTTGATTTAACCCAACGGTCAGTTTAGTTTAGGAGATGAATGGAAAATCAGAGCAGCTCCTGTTTTTGCCCTGAAATGCAAAGCTGTAAGATAAAGCCCTGAAGTGAAGAGCAGGAGGAGCACAGCTTGTGAAGGAGAGGATGAAGGAGGATCCTAAACTTCTGTCTAGGTCATTTATCAAATCGTGACGCTCGCACCGGTCTATCTGTCAAAGAGCAGTAGTTGCTGCACTTAATGTGTGAAAGTGATCAGACGTGAGAGGAATGAAGCTCCTACTGAGCTCAACCGGTCCAGCATTACAGTCATGGGTTCGATTCCCAGGCAAAGCAAAAACTGATCAAACGTTTGAACGCTTTGTATGCCTCAGCTATTAATGTCCCCCTTCAGGTCGTTCAGTTTTTTATTTTGTTCAGAAGGGATGCATTTCACCTTTCCGACAGTAGATGAGGATGCTTTCCTAGCGCCATGTTCGAACATGCCTGACAGATTGTTCTGAGTGGAACGGTGATAAAGATCAGAATGTGCGACAGCCTTAAGAGCTTGTGGTTCCTGTAAATTGTATAAATACATTTATAGTTAATTAGTTCAAAAATATATGACATTTTTTCCTGTATTTTTACAATTTATAATATCCTCCTGGAACCCAGGCATAGACTTCTGTCCTCTGTAGAGGACTTTATATTTGAGACAGTGTTGCATCAGGGCTTTTCAGACATAAACACTTTCTTCTTGCTCTTTAAGTATGACTGATACTGACAGATTGATCAAATTGATCACTCTTAGAAAAACGTGATAGTGTTTTCTAATTATCATCTAAACCTGGCTAATTTTCAAATTGTTTGTCATAAACATCTCAAATCGGAATATACTTTTTGTTACGAAACAGGGCATCATTTTCATGCATGTTTTCTGTAGAGGACACCAGGACAAACATCAGGCATTAGTCAATAGGGGAAGAAATTATAGATCAATATTCCTGAGATATTCTTATAAAAAGTTACTACTCCCATTATAACACTTCTTTTTTGCCATTATGGTTTGCCCCGAGAACACATTAATATGCAAATTAGATGCAATGAATAGATACATTGTATAGAATGGAAAACCAATTTATGGACATTTTACGCACATATTCCATAAAGTACAGTAGTATATCAAATCATTCTGTTATATCTTTCATAACGTAGTTGAGAATCAGCTTTGTACAAAGTACAAAAACTGATTGGTGAATGAAAAAATAAAATATTGTTTTTGCCTAAACATGCCTTTTTTTAATGATTTTTCTCCATTTGTTTCTTATGCTACAACCAATGTCATGACATAAATAAAATTCACGCAAAAAACCTGATGCTCAGGAGGATATAAGAATTACAGAATAGGCTGTTTCTAAAAGTCTACATTTCTAGATTCAAATGTCAGTGACAGCATTTTCATTCCTGCTACTGCACAAACACACTTACAGCTGTTGAACGAGAAGAACTTCAGGAGTTCTGATCTCTTCCACTCTATATTTAACACATTATAGTCACTCCTCTAATCTCAAAGAAACAACTGGTTGAACTCACTTTTCAAAACTTTTTCTTTTCATTATTTTAAATAAATACAGGTCAGGTTCACCTCCAGAAGATTTTACATGCACCTCCTTATTGACTAATGTTGCCCAAGACTGTATGCTGTGGGACAGTTCTTGACTAAGAAGCCCCACACACACACACAGACAGAGAGAGAGACCTCAACATATGATATATGTTCTTTATTACAAATCACATTTCTGTTTACTTTTACACACAAAATGTGTAAGGTTAGCACTGCCCCCTTGTGGTAAACAACTGCCTTTACAAGTTTGTTATTAATAATACTGGATCAAATGCAATCATCTAACAAATCTTCTGAACAATACAAAAGGTTAACTTTATCACAACGTAACGGAGATACTAACAAAAGAATAACAGTCACACTTCATCATTATCAAACATGCCAGAGCAATCCACAAGGATCTCCAGTGACCAGTACTACAGTCAGACAAACAGACACAATGAACTGACCATCATTAAATCTACAACGATAGATAGATATATAAATCATATACTCATATTAATGAAATGGCCATTTTTGCTCTCTGACGTTCATGGCTGCAATTATAAAACCATTTCTGAACCTGTTTGATATAAAAGCGTGACCATGTGTGGTGAAGATGTGACACTCATCAGTGGATCTGCCTTGTGTTTGAAATACTCAATCACACATATACTGCAGCTGGGATCTTAATTAGCCTTACTTTTAGACGAAGAAAATAGTTCCTATTGGTTTACTTAGCCTACGTAATTATCAAGAGCAAATAACATTTGTAAAACTGCTGCTCTACTCTTAAAAATAAATATAAAATCTATACCGTTAATAACAAGAGTGAAACATTACAAGCTGAGTGAAGTGGTTAAGAGTGTATTGATTGTTAGGATTTCTTAACATTGATGCAGAAAATTAACTAATATTACAAAGACATTCCAGTTTATCTGTGGGCTCAGTGGCCCGTAGAGACTAAAACACTAAAAACACACCAGCCCTGAAATGCCACATACATTTGTGCAGTACACAAATACAAGCATCACTGTAGCCGCCTGGTGATGTGGACGCTTTGCACTGCATTTCCCACAATGCATCTAGAGTCGGATCTTGCCTGAAACGATATCGTCATACAGCTGTGCAGTGAGGGGCGAGTATGTTTTCTGCGACGCATCCAGGAAGAAGAGCGGCTGCTGGACTGTATCCGGACTGAAGCCCTGCTGCACCAGTCTGCCCTTCTGCTGCTTGAACGTATCCGTCACGTCTAAGCAAGTCTGCAGAGGACAAAAGCAGGAAACACATGAAGACAAAAGGCAGTGCCACTGCAAGCAGCATGAATGTGCAAAAGCACACACTCACACACTCTCACACTTACACTAACTCACACTCTCTCTCTCACTCTCACACACACACTAACTCACACACACTCTCTCTCTCACTCTCACACACTCACTCACACTCTTACTCTCTCACTCTCACATCAAAGGTGATTTGTGTTGTTGTTTCAAATGCTTTTATTTTGTGCAACAGCGCCTGCCCACTTTCCAGCGGACTTGCTTCCCCAAGTATTGTTCCCATTCATTATTCCCATAGGGAGTCTTTGTTAAAGAGCTATAAACAATGAACCAAACCAACCAGCTGCAAGCTCAATCACAACACTACAGACTCAGATTTGTAGCAAAAAATTATAAATAAAAAAAAAGAAAATCAGAAAAGAGATGAAAGGTACAAATCTGTGTACTTGCAGACTATGGTGAGGGAAAGAACTACAATTCCATGAAACACTGAGAATAATCAAATTAAAAATTACAGAAACATCCAAAACATTTTACATTCAGAAGGTGTTAGGATACATAACGCTAAAAACAGGTGGAAACAGGGTCCGAAACATTTTCTGATCACAGAAGACTCATGTAAATACACTTTCAAAACTTTTTGAGAAACTTGTGTGTCTGGCCTGACATATCAACTTGAGAAAATATAATGATCAAACTGCACAGGCCAGCAAAAGTACCTGCACTCTCAGAAAGCAGGGCCATGCGTACGGAGGAAGAGTGTGGAGCAGATGACTGTAGAGCCTCTCTCCATCCAACCCATGACCGTCCTTCAGTACAGCAGCAGCCATTCCTGCTCGCCCCTCGTATCCTGCAAACACCAGCATGCTCTCACACCAGACCCAGTGCTCCACCTCTCATGCGAAACTTATGAAATCTATTTGATGCTTCTTTAGATTTGGAACGGTTTAGTTAATCAATTTTAAAACATGATTAAAAAACAGACAGCAAAGCAACATTTAAACAGGCTACAGTAAATCATTACTCCAGCAGTTATTAGACACAGCCGGAGACTAAAGCACCTGGCACAGTGACGCCGTAAACACTGACATCCAGCAGGAGGTCCAGACAGCCCAGCACTTCAGACACCTCTGTGGTGGACACGTTTTCTCCTTTCCACCTGCAGACCAGCAGAACAGCATGATCAGTGACATGGCGCCGCGGTCCTAACCAGGTAAGTGTGCAAATAACATCACAGAGAGCCAGACGAGATCATTTCACCTTTCCTCGGATGTGAAAACTACACTCGTAGCAAATGGACCAATAAGAAGTGTGCTAGAGTTTCACATGCTTAGGTGAGTCAACATCGGAGAAATGATTTCCAACAGACAAATAAAGAATGCTCTTGCTCCAGGTCTGTAAAAAGGAGCGGCGTGATTCCTGACTGAGCGAGGAGGGGATTTTTGGAAAGTCGCTCCACTACTGCTTCATCACGAGCACAATTAATGCCAACAGCCCATAATATAACTGCATTTTATCAAGAACTCACACGTTAAACATCATTAGCTAGCTTGACAGCCATATGGATCACTCAGATCAGAGACGGGGAAGGTTAAAATGACAGTGATGAACGAGTGCGGGAGGTTATATCTCAGACAGGTTTGTTTGTAGCATGCGGACACGCGATATTGATTGAGTGAATTCATATTTTAAACAGTGTATTGTACATGTTATAATCTCCACTCTAAACTAATGTGCTGCCCCATTGCACACAACAGACCAGCTCGCACAGAACGTTCAGGAAGTGCAGACAATTATTGTCAACGCTGCCCTGTGATTTATCAGCTTAAAATATTATATCTGCACTGTTTGTTTACTTCACTGGTTTGCACTCTATCTGCCATGTGCTGCTTTATTTTTTTTACATGACCTTATTTGTATTGTATTTATTTAATCTGTATATCTGGATTTAGGTTCTACTGTTAGTGTTAACTGTATGCGCCAAGGGTCTGAGAGTAACGCAATTTCAATTCTCTGTGTGTATGTGCTGTACATGTGGAAGAATTGACAATAAAGCAGACTTGACTTGACTAAAAACGGAAAAGCTACAACATATTCTTTCTGAAGTAACTACAACCCACAGTAGAGAAACACTGCACAGACAAGGGAGTTAAACAGTCATTTAAGATAGACTTGGGCTAATAGTAGTGTTCCAGTAAACCACGTCTATTCTTCTAGTATTGTGTAATTATTTCTTGTGTAATATCAGCGTTTCTGCTCAGTGGAGCGAGGAGTGGAGTGATTACTGAATGCCTGGAGCGCGGAGGAGAAATAGTGGTCGCTCACATACAGCTATTGATGGAGGCTAAGAGATGGAAAACACAATTCATCTGTACTGCAAGAACTCGTATTGACTCACTGTGTCCCTTCCTGTACGGGGGTGTTTTATTTTTTTATGCACACAATGAGGAATTACTTTATGACTCTTTGTTCTGAGAGGGCTGTGAGAAGAAACAGGCTAAGCGTCACTCCTCTGGCTTCCTGCAGCCGCTCTCATCAAGTGCATTGACGGTGTACAGGTGCATCTCAATAAATTAGAATGTCGTGGAAAAGTTCATTTCAGTAATTCAACTCAAATTGTGAAACTTGTGTATTAAATAAATTTAATGCACACAGACTGAAGTAGTTTAAGTCTTTGGTTCTTTTAATTGTGATGATTTTGGCTCACATTTAACAAAAACCCACCAATTCACTATCTCAACAAATTAGAATACTTCATAAGACCAATAAAAAAACATTTTTAGTGAATTGTTGGCCTTCTGGAAAGCATGTTCATTTACTGTACATGTACTCAATACTTGGTAGGGGCTCCTTTTGCTTTAATTACTGCCTCAATTTTCATTTTGTGTTTGTCTATTTGATTAAAGTTTGGTTTCAATGTTTGCCGGTTCCCACCTCCTTCTTCCCGTGACTACGAACTACGTTACGAGTTTCACAATTTGAGTTGAATTACTAAAATAAATGAACTTTTCCACGACATTCTAATTTATTGAGATGCACCTGTACAGTCAGTGAACAAGCGGCACCTGGACGCTCCTTTACATTGCTGCACAAAACCGCTTTCCAAAAGCTTGACTCTCTCTGGTCCTCAGCAGTGACAAACCTCCACTAGAGCTGTCGAGACCAGCAGCTGCTTTACAAAGCAGCTCATAAACGCAGGAGCCTGCTAGACCTGGCTTCTTTTCTGCACTACACTGCTGCTCTTATCATGACATTTCTCATTTGGGTCTTCTGAAGAATCAACGTAAATGTAAAGTCTACACAGAGTGTGTATGTTTATGTCAAAAGTTCAGTTGATGTAAGACCATTCTGCTCAGACAGAAAATTCCCAAAGGTGCTCCGCATCTGTGATTTAACTGCGTGTAGGTTGAGCTTTTGGGCAGATTCTTTAGAGGTCCCACCAAGTATGATTGGAATCATAAGACTGCATTCCAAGATGGTGCCGATGTGTGTGGCTAGCTGTCTGTCTGGGGCAGGTGTTTGTTTGTTGTTTTTATTATGTTTGACTTTTTTAACCAGACAAACCTGGGCACTCCTAACTTATTACCGGGATCAGCTATTGTCCATCAAATTAACTGTGGATGAGTCGCTGACGGCAGATTGTATAGGAGAGGGCCGCGGTCATCCTCCCTTCCTGGCTAGTGTTCCCAACTATCTATGGCGCCTGGCACATGATGTGCCACGCAGAAAGCACCACAGGAAAAGAGGACATCGTGGAGGCATCGCCGTCAAATTATAGACGCTGCGGACATTAAATCGTAAGTCCACAGGTTGGCTTCCGTCACTCCCACAGGCCGGTGTTTATGACCGGTTTGTTTCACGGCATTTCTCGGAGGGGCTGTGCAGCTGGATTCAGCCGGTGGGATCGAGCTCTCTTGGGGTTCCACGAAGGTTCCCTCCACCACGCTTCCAGGGGAGAGGTGTGGATCTCAAGAATCTCCGCAGTTCGCGTCGTGAGAAATCCCCTGTTAAGGATCCAATACCAATCAAGCTGGCCCTGACAAACGCCCGCTCGTTGGTAAACAACATTTATTTTGAATGATTTCATTATGACAAATGAGCTGGACTTTCTCTTCATATCTGAAACCTGGCTAAAGGTAGGAGACTCATCGCCGCTATCTGAACTCTTGCCTGAGGGATACGTTTGCATTAATTCACCTTGCCCGTCTGGTCGCGGGGGAGGACTAACGACTATATACAAAAAAAAAAAAAACTTCTATGCCAGCTACTCTCGGTTGAACCACCGCAGAGTTTTGAACTGCAACGGTTTCAAATCGCAGCTACAAACCCTATTACAGTCTCTTCAGTGTATCGGCCTCCGAAAACAAAGAGTTTTTGGTCAGGAATTTTCCGATTTTTTGAGTGAAATGTACACAAAATATGATCGCTTTTTAATTATTGGGTGATTTTAATGTCCATATTTGTTGTGGCAATGACATGCTTTCAAGTGAATTTATAAATTTGATTGAGTCATTCGATTTGCAGCAATGGGTAAAAAGCCCCACCCACAAATTAGGCCATATGTTAGATCTGATTTTAACCCATAATTTGCAAGTTGATGACGTAACTGTTTGTGAAACTAATTTCTCTGATCATATGCCAATCCTTTTTAAGACTTTTATTGCCATTCAACCTATTTATCTAGAAGACTTTGTGTTTGTCAAGGAGACTTAGTAGTACCTCTAATGTCGAATTTTCTGCACGGTTTAAAACAAAATGCAATTTATCTATGCTGGAAACACCTCTACAGCATTTAAATGCCGATGATCATTGGATTCTATTAAAATCAACTTGTGAGGACATCTTAGATAGCATTGCCCCACTAAGACCTACAAGTCATAAATTAAAGATAAATCCTTGGCTAAATGATAATACCCGTGTCCTTAGAAGTAATGCAGGCAAGCAGAGAGAAGATGGAAAAAGAGTAAATTGCAAGTTCATTATGATATTCTTAGAGACTCCCTATCTAGTTATCAAAAGGCAGTAAGAAATGCAAATTATTAGGGAAAATATTAACAATTCGTAACTCTTATTTTCTATTATTAATTCTGTAATTCAACCTTTGGAGTGATGTGTATCAAAAATCCTCAGTTATTTCCTGTGAGGACTTGGCAAGTTCATTATGATATTCTTAGAGACTCCCTATCTAGTTATCAAAAGGCAGTAAGAAATGCAAAAAATACGTCAACATTATTAGGGAAAATATTAACAATTCGTAACTCTTATTTTCTATTATTAATTCTGTAATTCAACCTTTGGAGTGATGTGTATCAAAAATCCTCAGTTATTTCCTGTGAGGACTTTCAAAAAAATTTTAGCCAAAAGATTGCTGATCAACGTGCAGCAATTTTTGAGCCCATTACTTCCGACTATGCTGCAGGATATTGTGCAAAAACTGAAACCTACATTCTGTGCAAATGATTTCATACCTAGTCGTTTGTTAAAGCAGACCTTTGATTGCGTATCACTGAGTTTAGCACATCTGATCAACAAAAGTTTGTCTAGTGGAATATGTCCACTAGAGTTTAAACATGATGTGGTGACACCTCAGCTAAAACGACCAAATTTAGCTCAGGATGAAATGCAGAATTATAGACCAATCTCTCAGCTGTGCGTTGCCTCAAAAATCTTAGAAAAAGTTGTATTGCAACAACTACTCATTTCTAAGTGAAAATTCTATAGGAGAAAGGTTTCAATCGGGGTTCAAAACAGCCCACAGCACTGAGACAGCATTATTGAAAGTGTTAAGTGATATTTTCCTGGCCTTAGACAAAGGAGACGTTGTTGTTTTGGTGTTGCTCGACTTGAGTGCAGCTTGTGACATGATCGACCACAACATCCTCATCTCCCATCTTGAACATTCAGTAGGGCTAAAGGGTACAGTCCTGAAATGGTTTCAGTCCTATTGAGCAATAGATGTTTTTCAGTTAATTATAATAATAAAATCTCAGGTAAAAAAAAAACTTCCTTGGAGGGTTCCACAAGGCTCGATCCTTTCTCCTGTCCTTTTTTCTTTATACTTGCTCCCTCTGGGCAGCATTTTTAGAAAGTATGGTGTATAATTTCATTGTTATGCCGATGACACGCAAATGTATTTACCAATCAGACATTCCACAAATTCATTTGAGTTTAAAGGACATCAAAAATTGGATGGCGAACATTTTTTTAATGCTAAATGAGGAAAACCCGAGGTCGTTGTTTTTAGCCACCCAAATAACTCCACAAAAAATGTATTAGATGGCGAGCCCTCTGGCACCATATTTGAAAAAAGCAGTAAGAGATTTAGGCTTCCTAATTGATAACCTAAAATTAGATAAGCAAATTTTTTTTAATGCTAAATGAGGAAAACCCGAGGTCGTTGTTTTTAGCCACCCAAATAACTCCACAAAAAAATGTATTAGATGCGAGCCCTCTGGCACCATATTTGAAAAAAGCAGTAAGAGATTTAGGCTTCCTAATTGATAACCTAAAATTAGATAAGCAAATTAACGCAGTGGTTCGGGATGGTTTTTATAATTTGTGTTTATTAGCCAAAGTTAAACCGTTCTTAAACTCAGACTCTGAAAGAGTAATCTATGCTTACTCCATCACGGCTGGATTTCTGTAATTCTTTGTATTCTGGCATCACCGCCACATCTTAGTCTCGACTACAATCAGTACAAAATGCTGCGGCAAGGTTGCTAAAAAAAAGGTAAAGAAATATGAATCAATTACCCCTGTTTTAGTTTCTTTAAATTGGCTCCCAGTCCATTTTAGAATTAAATATAAAATGTTACTGTTCGTGTTCAAATCTTTAAACAACCAGGCACCATTGTATTTGGCAAACCTTTTAATCCCATATAATCCTCCTAGAACATTACGATCAGAGAATCAAAAATTACTTGTAGTGCCTAGAACAAATCGCCTACATAAAGGCGATCGGGCCTTCGCTGTGATAGGGCCGAGACTTTGGAATGAGTTGCCCCTGCCGATCAGGTCTGCCAAATCACTGTACATTTTTAAGAAACTGTTGAAAGCACATCTAATGTTGGTAGCACACAATGATTGATGTGGTGTTTTATATGTCGATGTTTGTTTCCATTCTTGTACTTTTTATGTAAAGCACTTTGGTTCAACCTCGGTTGTGTTTTAAACGGTGCTATATAAATAAACAAACAAGAACAAGTTAGCCTTGGCCAGACCCTCTGCCAGAGCCCTGAACCCAACCTTTTCACACAGAATCCTATCAAAGCATTATTATGTCATTATGACTTTGGAAACGCGCTCCTGCTCTCAGAGCTTCAAGCTGCAATGCGGTCGAATGCAAAGATTCCCCACAATACCAGCACATTTACATGAAATAAAGACCTGAATGTGTCTCCAATCCTGTCTTTGAAGTAGACGAAGTCTCTGTGGTCCTGAAGCATCAGGTCTCCAGTGTTGAAGTACACATCTCCGCTCTTAAAGACGTCCCTCAGCAGCTTCCTCTCAGACATGGCTTTATCGCCTGCGTATCCCAGGAAAGGGTTGGTGAACATCACTGGAGCCACCAGTAACCCTGCTTGCCCTGAAACCACAGCAGTCTGGGCTGAGGACATCATTACTCACTCAAACATTTCACATCTATTTCAGTTCATTTTCACCACTTCTCCTCATATGCAAAAGAACTACTTTTCCAAACATGACAAAAAGCAAGCTCCCTCACAGAGATATCATTTACAGAAAGGTAACATCACTCCTAATAAAGTGATCCGTGTCCATCTCAGAGTCACACAGCAGTATTCTAGACAGCATGGTCAGTCGTCTGCTCTTAAAAACTAATGTATATGAAAGCAGATATGATGATGATGATCTCACCTTTACTCACTTTAATGCAGTGTCCCGTGTCTGTGCGTATGGGCTCATATGTGTGTGGATCACATTTTAAAAACTCAAACGGCAAATTGAGCTGAAATAAAACAGATCCACATCTCAAAGTACATTTCGCATTTCTGAATGAACTGCAGTTCCTCTTTGAACCTCATTTTTTACACATTTATCAAACTCTTCATTTTATTAAACAGTTGCATTAAAAACCCTCAAATCAAATAAAAACAAACCTTATTAAAATAACTGGCTCGCCCAATGGGTCCAATTTCATCGGTGTAATTAACGAAGCCAATACTGGCCTCCGTTAAACCATAAGCTTCACGAATTTGGATCTTTCCAAAACGCCTGAGAAACTCCTTCCAAACGTCAGCTCTGAGACCACTTCCTGCGGCGAGGCGAACTTTATGAGCCACTTCCTCTGCAGTCTGTAGAAAGGAAGTGGTATGAAAATAAGCCAACATCTTAATTTCATCAGCATCAACGTAACACAAACACAATGAAATCTTATCTTTGATGAAACAATGTAAACTAGAAAAAAAATAATAATAATAAAAATAATAATAATACACTACATATTTCAGCATGTAGTACAAAGTGGAGTACCTTTGGTTGATTGACCAGATATCGACAGAGTTCTCCAATATACTGAAACACAGTAATATCATACTTCACACAGTCCTTCCAAAACTGGCTGGCAGAGAACTTCCTCTTCAAAACACAGGTCGCCCCTGAAATCCAACATCAGGATTACATTCAGCCAGACTCTTCCCTGGATAACAGCAGGACTCGCAAGAGATGTTCATGTGTGTAAACGCCTGTCTTACAGTATTTACAGTGCAGTAAAACAAGTCATTGTGTTGCAGCGGTGACTGTGATATTGTGTTGGGCTGATCGTACCGAGCTCGATGCAGCCGCCGATGCAGAGCAGTGACGCAGACATGTGATAGAGCGGCAGCGTCAGATAGACTCGGTCACAGGCTCGAGCGCCACACAAGCGCAGGAAGGCCATGCACATCACCGCTTTGATGTGACTGATCCGAGCAGCCTTCGGCAGCCCTGAGGAACGCAGAAATAAACAACACGATGAAGAGCTGAAGCTGTAACAGTTAGAGGTCACATTAAGAGCTACAGCTCAGAGCGAACCGCAGCACGACTCACAATAGAATAGACATATAGGAGACAACGTGTGAAGATGCAATGTACAACACAGCACACAAACTGAGCACTGACAGATAACAACTCTATTACTAACAGGCTGGAGATGATGCTGATGTGTATGTAAACAAGGGCCAAAAGCACACCGGAGAACTAATATGACTACTCAGTGAAACAGTAAAAGAAATCTTTAATAAGACCTTTAAATGCAGCATGTGAACAAATAATTGACATTTGATCAAACTAATAACTGCATCAGCTTTTTTTAAGTGTGCTTTTCCAATATTACACACAATGTTCAGGCATTCGTTTACTGAAGTGTTTGTCTTGATTTGGGTTTTCATTCCTTTGGTTCATTTGATAATGACTGCATGTTTCGTGATGGCTGTGCATGAGTTCCTGCTACATCCAGAGTACTGTAGAGTGCGAGATATGACCAGCTCCTTACAAATGAGGAACTCATACACAACTGCTACAAAGGTGCAATCATGCAAGCATCATCCCCAGCATTGCCCGTTAGTTTAACAGCTGCTAGAGTAACCCCTCCGGTCCTAAGGTCATCACCCCAGCGTCTGCTCTACGAGATGATGAAGCTGCTGTGCTCTACCTGTGGTGCCAGAGGTGAAGATAAACAGGAAGTTGTTCATGAGGTTGGGCTGAGGGCCGTCAGTCTCGGGCTTCTCTGGAGAGGCTGACTCCAGCTTGTCCAGCAGCGTCCCGACGCTCTGGTGTGAGGAGCTCTCTGCTGCCACCCAAACCTCAAGCCCAGCGTCCGTCAGCGCCAGCAGCACCTCTTCCACACACCTGATCAAGTCTACAAACAAGAGTCAAACGCTTTCTTTCAGAGGATCAAACAGCAGGACTATAGATGGTACACAGTTGTGCTCATAAGTTTACACACCCCTTGCAGAATATACAAAATAAGAAGAATCATGAAAATGGCATGTTATTTTTTTATTTATTTACTGTCCTGAAGAAGCTATTTCACATAACGGATGTTTATATATACTCCACAAGACAAAATAACATCAGAATTTATAAAAAATGACCCCGTTCAAAAGTTTGCATACTCTTGAATATTAATACGGTGTGTTGTTTCCTGGATGATCATCACGGTTTTAATGTTGGTTCAGGTTGGCTAGTTGTTGGTCCTGAACAGTTAAAAATCCTCCAGCTCCTACACATTCTTTGGTTTTTATGTAGCTTCTGAAGTGCAGTACTAAATGAAAAAAATATGATCTTTAAACAAAATAAGAAAAATGTACACATCATCATCCTGTTCTTAATGCTTTGTGTGGCCTTCTTGAGCAGCAGTACATGTTTTGACCTTTTGTAATAGTCATGTACGAGTCTCTCAGCTGTCCTCGGTGTGAAAAGATGGATCTCAAAATCATGCAGTCACTGCTAGAAAAAGTTGAAAACCTGAGAATGAGCAGGAGCTGGAGGATTTCTCTGAAGAACAGCAGGCAGTTGAACTGCTCAGGACCAACAAAGGACTGATGAACAACCATCACAAAACATTAAAATCCTGATGATCATCCAGGAAACGACACGCAGTATTAATATTCAAGAGTATGTAAACTTTTGATTGGGGTCATTTTTATAAATTCAGTTATTATGTTGTCTTGTGGAGTATATATAAACATCCGTTATGTGAAATAGCTTCTTCAGGACAGTACTAAATAAAAAATATCATGCCATTTTCACGATCCCTCTTATTTTGTTAAAATTATAAAAATTTTGCATATTCTGCAAACTTATGAGCACAACTATGTTTGAAAGTAAATTATGTCAATATGGTAATATATTAAAATAACTTAACATAACTATACGGAACATTCTGATCTGTTAAAGAGAAAGATCAGTTTTTATTTAGATTTGTAACAGTGCTCAGTCAGACCAGACTTTGTCACATCAGCAGTGAAACGTTTCTTGTGACGGAATTTGCTGCATGTAAAAGTTGTTGGTAAACTGAGTTTTCAAAGCATGCAATAAACAGCAAGCACAGTATAAGCAACCAAAACATACATAATCACGTAATATCTTTACACGTGAAGGACAGTGACAAAGTGTGTAAAGGCATTCTGTGCGTCACCACACACACACACAAACACACTCTCTCTCTCTCTCTCTCACACACACACACTCTCTCTCACTCACACACACACACACTCTCTCTCTCTCACACACACACACACAGACTTGTCACAGCACTTAAGATCATTGCTCTTTTGTTGGTTTTGACTGCTTCTATTGTCCTCATGTGTAAGTCGCTTTCGATAAAAGCATCTGCTTAATGACTAAATGTAATAATATTTCACAGTATTACTGTTTCACTGCATTTATGATCAAATTAATGCAGTCCTGATTGTTAACATCTTGGTGATGATGTTCATAAATATCATAAATGGGTATCAACATCTGGCTTCTGGGTTTATTACCATTAACACATGTAAGTATTAGCTGTCAGAATAACAAGTGAAAAGCAGTGCAGAGATAATGAAGACCCACACGACAGCGCTAAACCTCAAGACAGCACGCTCTTAATACTGACAGATTCCTCATCAGTGGGGCTTCAAAGTCATCTCTAAAGATATAGTGTACTAATGCTGGAACCCTTGGTAAATACTGTATGAGCAAAGGTGGCTGTGAAAATAAATCTGCATTGTTGATCCTTTTGATCTTTCACTCCAAAAATGCACAAAATGCTAACCCATCACTGAAGTAGAACAATGGAAAGTGGAGGGACAATCTCATTATGAAATAAATGTTTTTCTCTAGTTCAAATTGGCCACAACTATTGCAACATGCAAGTCACCTCCTGTAATGCCTGGTGAGTTTGGAGCGCACCTGACAAGTGTTCAGAGAGCATTCCTTCATCCAGAATCTCTCCAGACCCTTCAGATCCCCAGCTGCGTGCTGCTGCTTCTCCTCTTCAGTTCACCTCACTCACTTTCTATTGGGTCCATGGCGCAAGCTTCGTTTTGTGCTCAGTGACACATTACTGTGTTGATTTTGATGTTTGTTTTGGATCAGTCTCCCGATGGAAGATCCAACCACAGTCCATTATAAGATTTCTAACTCAGTTAGACGCATGGCATCTGTCACATCTGCTTCTTCTACATGAGGAAAAGTTTCAGATAACCTGGCATTTGAGAAATGAATTCTGTGAAAAACTTTCAGTTGTATCAGGCTCAGACGAGCACATATTTTACTAGAACATATTCTGTCCAGCACGCCCAACCACCATTCCTCTTCAAAACCTATTCCCAGCTCACTCTCCCATGCACAATCATCCAAGCCTAACTCTGCCCATACCTGCGGTGGAGGGTTCAGCGGCAAATAAAGTAGCAGAGCAAAGTCTAACCAACACAAAACAACAAGTCAGAAGAGCTGCAAACAGGGGCATCTCTATACAAATCAGTAAGAGATGGGGGAACCATATGATTCTCCAGAGCAGAAGTCAGTTTAAAGTGTGGTGTGAACTGGCCGCAGCTCTGAAGTGCAGACACATCTGCTGTCCAGCGGTGCAGCACTTCCCTTCTCGCCGGTTCTGCTGTTTGCTCGGTAAAACTACACTGTACTGATGGCGTGCGGGGGTTTTTTGTTGTTGTTGTTGTTGTTGCTTTTTTTTTTACACAATAAAACAACCCGAACTTGATTTAAATGATTGACAGTAACAGTCTGCCAGGAGTCACGATAGTTTGTCGCCGTTTCTGCTGTAAACTACACTGTTTAGTTTTTAAATAAAAGATTTGATGATGCATATTATATACCAGCAAGCAGATACGATCAGAATGTGACCCCAATAAGCTAAATTGCATAAGCATTTTCCCATAAAGAACACACACACACATAAGTGCCAGCTGCCGCTAGCCAATACTGTATACACACACACACACAACATTTATTTATTTATTTAATGTAACACTTTAGTTATTAACTAGTTGCTTGTATTTTACTATATTAGCCGTTTATTAGTACTCATAAAGCACACACTAGTGCATTATTATGCGTGACCGTATTCTACATCTTACCCTATACCTGAACACTAATTAATAGTTTATTTAGGCAAAAGTCAATAGTTAAGTTAATAGTGAGAATTGGACCCAAAACTAAAGTGTGACCATATGTATTTGTGTGTATGTATAAATATATATTAAAATAATCATGAGACCATTTTAATTGAGACACTTAAGTTTTTATTGATTTTTTAATGTATTTTTATCACTGATTGATTTTTTTGTTTATGATCCTGAAGGATGACTCATTCTTCCTCAAATCTGGAGAAGATTTTGTACTTTGCTGTATCAGCCATTTCTGTGCAGAGCACCTCATAATCGTTTTGTTTCCCAAATACAGAAGTGAAGAGTTCGGCTGGAGAACTTTGCTCATATTCACCCGTCCAGCTCTGCTATTTGTTGCTCCTTTTCCATTGAAAGGACAATGGGACATTTTATTTCTCCATCCCAGTTTCTCCTGCTACACCAGTCCGCTGCAGTCTAGGGTAATATGCAAAGAAGAAACATGGAAAAATTATTTTATACCATGCAGACAGAGAACATCATCAATGCAATGCTATGTGCCATGTTTTATTCACCCAGCCGTCTAGAGAGATGGACACTGTTTTCTTGCTGCTGTCATCGAGTGCTTGCTAATGAGGGAGTGCTGGGTCTCTGCAGCTGATGTTGTAAAGTGCCCTTACATGCATGCATGCAGAGTGCCACGAGATTAGTCCGTTTGTGATCTGGTGCTATGTATGTATAATATATATATATATATATATATATACATACATAAAAATCCATTTCAATTTCTGTTACCGCACCAGTCAGCTGCAGTCCTGGTGTCTCTCAAAAAATGTTTTTCTGCTGTGAAAGAAGAAAATATGGTCAAAATATTTGGTGTATATACTGTTACAATTAATGCCTCAAACTTGAAGAGCATTTACAGTACATGCATAAATTATCTTTTCTAACATTAAATGCTTTCTATAAATATTATAAATATATTATTACTGTTTATCATTATAAAATAACAGTAAAAAATATTTGCAAAAAAACTTGCGAAAATTACACATGGTTTTGAAACAAATAAAAAAGGTTATTACAGTTAAAACATTTAGCTACACTCACCATAGTTTAAACATGTTATTTGTAGTAAAACCGTAGTTATACAATTGTAATAAAAAACATTTCATTTCTCTGTGATCCCACATTTGCCCATTTTCACAGTACAAAAATTATATACTTAATTGAACTGCCCAATTTCCATTCATCACTTTATTAATTTGAATAATGAATGTAAAATAACCTGCCAAAATGTACATAACCTCAAAGCCGCAACTTCCGCAAGGATCATAATTGAAGATGAATGTATTTCTGATGTGTGTGTAGTACGGCTTCAGCCATCAGTCAAGGCAAGAGAAAAACACTGGATGAGAAAGTTATCAATATTACAAAAATAAAACAAAGCAAGTATTACAAAATATGATATTAAAAAGTGTAAAAGTCACTAGTTTTTACAAAGTAACTGTTGATGTGTGTAGTACGGCTTCAGCCATCAGTCAAGGCAAGAGAAAAACACTGGATGAGAAAGTTATCAATATTACAAAAATAAAACAAAGCAAGTATTACAAAATGTGATATTAAAAAGTGTAAAAGTCACTAGTTTTTACAAAGTAACTGTCCAACAGCGACACCCGCTGGTAAAGCTGAAGAACAGCTGAACATCAGTTCACAAATCAAATATATTGTTTAAATTGTTACTGTCTTTTGTTATTATTCTGGAATAAATATGAAAATACGTAAAAACACTAACTTGATGA